CCCCAAAACCCCAAAACCCCAAAACCCCAAAACCCCAAAACCCCTGAATTGAAAAAATAGAAAATATTTACTTATTGATATTTAAATGAATCTGATCTAATGCTTCTAATCTAACTTATTAATTATAAAATATATATAGATCGACTAGCTATGGGAAATTAAATGACTGGCTGTTGCACAAGCTACCAACGAGAGTAAAGAGAGAAAGCTAATTCTCAAATGCTAAGGTATTCCGAACTACCACAAATTTTAAGGGCTAATAATTAGCAACGTTAAAAAAAGAAGCAGGGAATAATGTCCTCAAAAATGCGTTATTCTTAGTCAACTCAACCTTCAAACTCTCAATTTTTATAAAATAACACAGGAAATCAGTAAGTACTTTATCTCATATCTTATCACTTAAATAATTTTACTGCATATTCCTAAATATTCTTAACCTAATATTTAACAAATAGAGCTAATTTGGACGGGAGTGTGTTCGACAAATTTGAATACGACTATCACAGGATCATATCAATTGATTAGTAGAATATGAATCCTGATAACAATAGTCACTTTGACTTTGACGCCTATTATGACGATCCATTTTTGGACTACGGGGTATTTAATTACAAGGACTCCCCAATGAAGAAGTATTCTGACAATGAATCGAAATTCGTAGATAAAAATAATTTAAAAAATATAAGAACTATTGAAGTTGATGAATTCTAGTCCTGTAATGATCTGGATGATCCTGCTATTATCGTAAATAGAGTTATAACAGACGAAGATGATTCAGGTAAAAATTACACATGGTCAAACAGCTCAATGTCCCATGCAATTGAGAGATCTGACTACTCAGGATCTCAAGATTTTAGATTTAAGAAAAATTGCTCCTAGAATGACATTTCACCTTTCTAATTCAATTAATCAGATGGAAATAATGATTTAAAAAAGCATTAAATTATGCTTGAGTAAAAGAGACATGAAAGAAATCAAGGAATTTTCCAAGCAAAAGAGTATTCACTGACAGGAGATTAAATTATAACCAAAATAAGTCAAATATTCAGAATGGTAATGCTAAGGTTTTAGGCTTAAATTCAACTAAGTATTGATCAATCCAAGTAGCCAGAAATCTTTCAAAGTTCAATGCTTTTTAATGAAAAACTCTATCTCAGATCTTTCAATCTTTAATCCTTAAGGACATAAACCATGAATCCATTAAATGAATAAGTCTTGAATGCGGCGATAAAAAGTGTTCAAAATTTGACTTCAGTTCCTAATGAAGATTTAATCTAGAGGATGATTAAAACCATAGTAATTAGCATGCAACTAACGAATGAGACTTGCATTCTAGCTCTTATATTTATAGAGCGTCTTATTGTAATCTTATTATAAGTTTTAACATTTTTAGAAAAAAGGAGGTGTTCAAATCTTGACATTTAACTGGAGACCCATTCTATTCAGCTCTTTTGTTCTTGCAGCCAAATATTGGGAAGATATTGTGTAAATACTAACTTTTCAAATTAATGAATTTTTAGGTATTGGAATATTGACTTTGTAGAACCATTAGCGATCTACCCCTTGAAATCAATTAATCAACTAGAAAACACCTTCCTCGGACTTTGCTAATATGAATTGTTTGTGAGTCTAGAACTCTATGATAAATACTATGATGCAATTATTATGAAAACAGCTGACCTTTGCTTTAAAGATTTTGATAGCTTTGACAACGCTTATAACATTTGAAGTGTGAAGGAACTTTGAGAAAATTATGAAAGAGTATTAAAATTAGTATTCAAGCAATTTCTCTAATTCTGAGGCTTGATTGCTGTAGCATATATATATTTATAGATATTTATAAATTAAAAAGACTTTAACTCTACAAATTCTACAATTATACCTCAATTATACACTTGAGGGGTTTTGGGGTTTTGGGGAGATCGGAAGAGCACACGTC